CGTATGCCTGCATGTCTGCTCGCCAGGATTGGGAGGTGCGTCCGTACAACTCTGTGTGCAGCGACCGTACAAACAGTGACCAATCATCAACCTCTGTTTAACCTAATCCCCCATCCTGATCATGAGTAGCTCCATGCGTGTGCACACCTGATCCGCAATATACGTCCTGAATAAGCGCGCTTCGTGCTACAGGTCTGTTTCCTTTCATAGCTGGGCTATAGCTTAGCTGGTTCTGGGAGTCTAGCTAGATGTAGGAGAATCTGCCACAGAGATTTCTGAGTCAGTCAGGCTTTACTAAGGTAGCAATCCGCCACACCCTTCCAACCCGCCCTCCCCTCCCCACCCCCAATCACTCATCCCACTTTTTAGAAAGATTAATTTTTTAGAGAAAAAATAGGCACCCCATTAGAATCCAAGAACAACTGGCATTGACTTGAGAGTTGCATGCATAATTTTGAACTTGACTGAAGTTAATGTACATATTTTCTTGTCGACTGCATTTCTGTTCGGTGAAAAATGATAACAAACAACACTTCAGACGCCAATCTGACGAGGAGAACAAATTAGTGCTAAAAAATTCATCTGTCGACTTTCTTACTAATTCTCGCCAACAGAATGGACAAATTTATGGCTAAAGTAAACGAATTCGTGATTTCCCATGAAAACTCTGTTTATACTCCCACTAAAACTACTTGAAACATTTTGTACTTGAATAGGGCAGTTGCATCCAGTTGCCTCCAGTCAACTGACTTCGGGTAACAAGGCTTTGACAATTCACTGGCTTGAGATGCAGGGTTTTTGACATCTCAGGATGTACGGTTTGTGGTTTAGTACTGAAATCGTCATGATGCGGTTGAGAGCTTAAAACTTGTTCCATGCAAATGCTAAATCATCCAATTTTTTTTTAAAACATGGCTTTTTCCTTAAAGAAGCCTGATCGCTCAATCTGCAGCCTTCAAAATGTCAACCATTAGAGCTAGAGGCCTGGAAAAGATTCTACAAGTGAGAAGTCACCTAATTAAAGGAGATTATGTTCGTCAAAAATGGATTATTCAAAATATTCCTTATCCCTTTAGTTGACTTACTTGGTTTTGAAAATGTGCACCAATTGGTGATTTGCGTTGTAATTTAAGAGAAATGCTTGAAAAATAACTTTGAGAGTGAATTCGGCGTAAGTAAGAGCTTTTCACGGTGGATCAAGACCATCAAAAAGCCAGGACCAGCAAATGTCAATATGTGTGTAAACGTTTAAAAGGAGATTCTTTGCTTGGCATCTTCCTAACCATCAAATCCGAAAATACGATAGTCTTGAAAAACTTTTTTGCTTCTATTATGCTGCCATTTGTACTAACTAATTGTTTTAGTGTACCATTTCATTGGTCCCTGAACAGTCGCAGACAAATAAGACGTTACTGATAATCTATTAGTAGCAATAGCCGACCAATTATTATAATTTTTTAACCATCCACATTATTGATGAAACGTGTCATTATGAGTGATACGATTCTTTTAAATACCAAAGCCGGGATTAATATGGTGGAAGCTAGCGATAAGCTCAAGGAAGCATTGATAACTGTTGCTAGACTCACTGCGCATGGGACCACCATTCCACAGAAAATAAGCATACAAGGATTGAAATCAAGCAGTACTGACACAAGTAGCACGAATATGGTTTTTGAAGCATTTTATCATAATAATACACCTGATCCCCATGGTGGTTTCCAGATACAAGCTACTAATTCACAAGGAAATGAGTAGTTTCAAAAATCTTGATGTCAGCATTGAAATTCTAGTCCTCCAATGATGATGAGCCGATTTAATTATGCTCTCGGGTCTCAATGACAAGCCTTTTGAGGCGAGGTGGCTTGAGTACGATTGACTACACTTTCCTTTCATGAGTGTCCCCCTTGACCTATTTAAACAATTTACAAAACAATGTGGTCTGGCAAAGTCGTGCCTCCAGTTTTTCGAAGCCTTTATACGAGTACACAATTGGCTACCAACTTTCTATCGATCTCATGCTTAGGATACAAACATTGAGACCAAGCTCCAGAATGCTTCTAATATCAGTATTTTGAGTATCGCTAATAACTGAAATCCAATTACCCTGTTCATACAATGGTACCCAATTCTGTAGCGCCCTTGTGTCCTCAATCAATTTAAGTTTAACTAGTGAGAGAATGATTCCATTGAGTGTACAACGCTACCAATGAAACCTGGAGTGATTGTAATTTCATTTTTTTTAAACCCACCTGCCCACTCGCAGCCCATGGCGTTCCGCATCTGGGAAAGACCGACTATCTGCTATTTACAGCCAAGAGCCCTTAGTCCAAGAGACCCTGCAAATCGGTGACCCAGTGCTCATTCTTTCAACAAAGTTTCGATGCCCTTTTTGAGTAAATTGGTGAAATAACCACGAGTCTCTTCCAAAGCTCAAGCAATTTTTTGTTTGAGTCAAGGTGGAGCATAGAGAGCAGTAGTGTACATATAAAAAAGCTAAGAAATGTACAAAATGTGGTATGATAGGGGGGGGGGTAGGTGGGATTAGTTGGTATTTTGGATGCTTGAGGAAGATGTCGAAGAGCTCGACTTTGAGATCGAGAAAGAGGACGAGCCACTGGAGAGTTCCGCACAACGTTTCAGGATGAGATCCGCTGAGAGATCCGGCCCAGATGCCTCCTAAATCAGAATCAAAATACAGAAAAAAACGTTGAAAAAGTGCTAATCTTAAAGCCAAAAAAAGGCAAGAAATAATCACTCCATTTTGAGTAAAGGATAAAACTTTTGCAAATTGAACAAGTTAGTTCATAAGCATTTAGAGCGTTTAGAGGATGAAAAATGGGCTATATATTGTATCCTTGATGCTTTCAAACGTCGATTTCAAAACAAGGCGTAGAACCAATCCATGAAGGATGCTGACTTGATTGTCATGCGCATGAGTAACTCAAAAACTGTAATATATGCATACATATATATATATATATATATATCAGGTCAGCCCATTTGCATGACTTCAACTAATAACGGAGTTCAATTGACAGAGAATACTTAGATTTTACAATAAAACCAAACTTGAGTTGAGTTGTGACCTTATCGTGGGATGCTTTCAAATATCACGCTCATAACTCACCCAAGCTGTTGGGCACAGCCTATATGCTTTGACTAAGAGATCTGCGAGAGATTGAGGCGATTTGTCCGCTGCTGTGGGCGAGGATGACGGTGAGAGTGCATTGAGAGGTGAATGAATCTGCACTCCCGATCCTCCAGCCCCCCTGGATGCAGGATTTGAAGCAATTGGCCAGGTATGCAGGCGATAAATCTGCTTCAATGTCTCCATTGTCACGTCACTTTCTTCCTGCGATCGATTGGACTGCTTGTTTAGGAAGAGACAGAGACTGGGATGAATGAGATTGAGTGCCCGACGAGCAAGAAAAACTCGATCGCATTCCCCCAGGAAACCGCGTCTAGGAGAAGAGAGAGAGCATGAAAAAATGTCCTGTTAAAGCAAAAAGCCGCTGACAAATGTAAAAATTATTTAACCCAATTGAATACCATCTCTAATAGGGTGGTAATTCTAACCGTTAATATAGGCAGACACCAATAGCTCTAGTCTCATACCACCACTGCCACCGAAAACAGCCACAACCCACATTAACCCCCCCCCCCAATGGTCCACTATCCATTCTTCCTAACACTTCCGTTTGTCGCAATTGACTTTTCCCCAACACTCTATTGTTGTAGTGGAGATTGGGTTGCAATTAGGAGGGTATTATTGTCTGTAGAATAGTTTAGAACCAAAATTCCAAATTCAATTGCCAATATCTTCTGAATGTGATGTGGCATAGCCGATCCTACTCCCCCCCCCCCCCCCCCCCCCCGACCTAAATATTGTATTTAAACAATCTATCCGACTTGAGGCTTCTTGGTGAAGATTGAACGACTCATGCTATTAGTGATTTCCTTAACGATTTTTACTCCAGATCGTTCTGCGTATGATTTGCTGCTGCTCAGCCGTCGATCATTTCACCAATTTCTCTCTGCTCTCAAACAATTTCTTTGTCCACTTCAGCTCTGCACCTAGTAACACTCCAAGTACCGAAAAAACAGCCACCGTCATATACACCAGTCCTTCCCGATGAGTTGCCAATTTCAAGTTGATCGCAAGTAGTTTTTCTTGCCAGTTCAGACCTTACTTTTCAAGATGGTAAATGGATGAAATGGTGCAGAATTGTTAGATGAGACGAGAGACTTACTTATCTTCAGAGGGCTGTTTACGAAGTTGATGAAAGACTTGAAGCATACGAGTCCAATCACCGCGACTCCTAAGAATGTCTAAAACGAGGTAAGTCGATCGATACATGTGTGCCGCAAAGTTTCCACTTCGATCGATGTCAGCAGTTGGGATCCGCCAAACGCCCTGAAAAAAATGGAGGAAAATAGCGCCAATAAAATCGTCACTTGCCTTGATGAGAAAATGGAAACCGCTCAACACACTAGGAGAGCTAGTTCACTTCGAATTTCAGTAAGCTTTTATTCTTTGTTCCCGGGGTGTGCGATAGACTTACCTCCACGTGGTGCACCCTGGGCAACGTATACTCATACGGTAAAGTCTACTAACCGGCAGTTGACTTCTGACTTCAAACTACCCCCACTGTAAGCCACATTCAACCCATTTCACTGTACTCATCTTACCTTTTCTCTGCTCTATTGTCTGTCTCTGTCACATCTGTGAATCATTATTCTGTCCCCCCTCTCGACTTTTTGTCACTTTGATGTTCCTCCTCCTCTCTGTGAAGCCCGAAGTCAGCTAAATGGCTAATGATGACTATCAAAACGCCTGCCATTTGAAATAAATAAAAAAGTCTTTGTTCCAACTTCTAACCACTCTAATTACAGAATCACGAATTAACAAAATCTGTTAGTGGGGTTTCAAATACTTCAGTCTGAAAGGCATTAACCTGACATCTACAACCCACACTTTGTGAACAGAGGAATAGGTAATGCGTTCATTGCCACATGAGCTACATCTATCTAATGAGCATTAAATTGATTATTGCGAAGGAAAGAGACCCTAAAGAAGTCACCTTAACGAAGGACCCTGACTGCAATCCATTAGCCACCATCTATTACGTACAACTATCACATAATTGGCTACTGTCACCCATAACAGCACCGCTAGTGGAAAAGAGAAAAGAGTGGTTTAGCTTCCAAGAACAATTAGAGTTAAAATGTAGAAAAATATTGTGGGAAAATGATAAAGACAGAAAACCATTCCGCATTCCAGGATATTGCATTGATGGACAAGAAATACATATAGATATTTACGTAAGTATTCGAATTTTGCACTCACGTGGAAGAAGTTGCTTTGTTTTCGATCCTTGAATAAACCGCCATACTCAATCTTAGCCACATGATCGAAGGGTCCCATCATTATAGCCATAGCCTTGTCCAAATCCTATTAAAAGAAATGTAAAAATAAGGGGGGGGGGTCAAATAGAATAACTTGAAGGCGTCCAATGCATTCAAGCGCATGTTCTCACCTGCAAATCCCCAGGGGCGGTAAAGTAGAGATGAGCCAAGCGATACATGGCTTTGTAGTGCAACGGGAGTCTTTGAAGAACCACCTCCATAGCGTTCTTACAGTATTCAATGGCACTTCTCCACAATTCTAGAGCAAAAGTTAACGAGCTAAATTTGACAAAATACCTAAATCCGAGAGTGTGGAAAAGTCTGGTTTAGCCGGAGTTTCAATTAACGGTACTTCAGGCGGTTGAAGCTGTTCGACAGATTTTGACTCAAAGGAAAAATCAAGGCTGTCAACATCAATGACTGGAGTTGAAGTTCCAGGTCCTTCCAATCGAGGTACCTTTGTAGAAGGCTCGGGAAAAGTCATTTGCCGTTTCTTCCCTCGTCCCTTTGCCCTAAAATATACCACACGTCTACTTAACATTTATAAGTAGTAAAACGTCCCAACTGATTAAAACTAAAATACCCTCCACAAGCATTTTGACGGTAAAATCAAAACTTACGAAAATTTGGCGGGTTCGGTAATGAAGGGAGATTGAGTGAGATCGTAGAGGACTTCACAAATTTGCCTTAAGGGGAGATCGGAGGAGGGTTGGGGTTCACCAGCTTTGAGCACTTCCTTCAGCAAGAAGGCATGAATGCGGTAGTAGAGTTCAATGGACTCGACTGCCAAGGTTTGCAGCTTATTGTAATTGATGCGCTTGGGGTACTTTGCGCCATTTGCATGCAATATCTCAGCGGTTCGCTTGTAACCGGTAACCACACGAAGTATCCAATCGCCACGGCTCTCTAAAACAAAACCGCAAGTTTTAACTCCTTCATTATTGAGAAGGTTGCTCTAGACCCCCAATAGTAGGCAAATAAATATCCTAATATCGGTTCACCTCGGGTAACAACTTGTAAAACACCCATTAAGAAGCGAAACCAATAGGAATTTTAAGAGCATACCATTCTCGTTCTTAATTCGTTTTCCACCAGGCTGACTGAAATCGTGGAACAACACCCCAGGACCCGCCTTCTCTTCGCATTTTGCAAGCATATAGTGCGGAAGCCACTGCTCCTCAAAATCAATTTCACCAGCTCCACTATTACCCAACTTCCCGGTTCTAGTCTCAGGCACTTCCTCACTGTCAGAGGATTTCGCCACAGGAGTAGATTCTGGAACCCCATTCACAGACACAATCTCCAATGAGGGAGATGAATCGGACTTAGTTGAGGGTTTACCAGATTCCGCCGACTTTGCAGGTGTCTCAGTGATCAAGGAACTATTTGACTTATCAGAAAGCCGTCGATCCAAATTCAGTGATTGAAGGAAGGTATTATGGGAAAGGAAGAGCTTCTTTCGATACCACTTTGAAGCTAGATGCAGATGTGATCTCTTGAAGCCTCGAGTTAAGGACTAAAAAGAAGATGAGGAATGTTGAATTCGGGTAACCAACCGCTAAGGAGTGGGGATAACTGAATAGGACGTACCTTCTTGAGGATACGAGAAGCGTAGGAATGCAACTGATAGGCCGAGGTGCCTTGTTCGAGGAGGATACAACGATAATTTGGTTCAAGCTCGAGAGTCACCTGGAAGCATCTGAAACAGGTGGTCACACTTTGCGAAGACACTCGCTCCGTTCTAGGATCGGTCTAGGAGGACGGCAAACATGAGAAGTAAGAAGATCTAGTGGTTGAATTGTTAATGGCTGAAAACTCGGCACCTACGCGGAAAGGCGCGTTGTGCACTGTAAGATTCAAGATGCCAGACGCTTTCTTCGCCTAACCGGGGGTGTGCGATAGACTAACCTCCTCGTGGTGCACCCTGGGCAACGTATACTCATACGGCCAAAAAGTCTATTAATCGACAGTTGACTTCTGACTTCAAACTACCATGACCACACTGTGTGTCATATTCGACCCCTTTCACAGTACTCATCTAGCCTTTTCTCTGCCTTTGTGTCCGTCTGTCTCTTTTACATCTGCGAAACGCTCTTCTTTTCCCATGTCGAATTTTTCTCATTTTGATGTACCTCCCTTCTGTGAAGCCCGAAGTCAACCAAAGGGCTAATGATAACTATCAAAATACCTGCCGTTTGAAATAAATAAATAAATTCTTCGCCTAAATAAGCCATACAATATTGTAATACAATATTTCAGAATAATTTCCGTTCTTAGAATACTGGAATCATCAGCTTCAAAAGTAAGCTTCAACTAAACTCGAGATCTGCGTAAAGTTGGACTTCAAATACAAGTACAGAGTGGGAAAGAGAAGAGAGGCTCCGAGGGAATAGAAAAAAGTAAATTGAGATTATTTTTCAATTTAAAAGTAGTAAATAGAGAATATATTACATAAGACCCGCACAGGCACTCAATATTACCTTCAGAGACGAGACTCACGAGTCCACATTAAGATAAAAGCAGACAACGTGAAGGCACAGAGAGAGAGACATAACTCGAACCATTCATCAACTGAACCAACTGATCAACAAGACCTGAATGCCCGATAAAAGTGAGCTTTTCAAAGCATTAGATAATTCAAATAAAGTTTGAGGTGGAGGACTTGGAGTTAACATGGGTTGGGATTTAAAATTACTCAATACTCAACTCCCACTTGAGTACAATTTTTACATGTTTTTTTCCGGATGTTCAATGGCGCTACCCGCACAACTCAGAATTAACGCAGGATCAAACATATTGTGGAATCTCTTAGGACACACAAGCTGAATAAGGATCATATTCTACTGGAAACCAAAGAAATCCTTAAAGCCATGAGTTAGAGTGCTTTCGAGGACACAAAGCAGAGTTATTGAGCACTAAAGAGGTCAAGGTTAGGAGACCTTAGAGGCTGCTTGAACACTCTTAAAGTTAATTAAAAAGCGATAAACAGACACGAGTAAGCAAACACCCTCTCACAGAAAACCGAATTGACTGAGTTCTTCTCGCCAAAGCGTTAGATCAGCGCATTTCTGTGTGTGTGTGTGTGTGTGTGTGTGTGTGTATGTGTGTGAGGCAATCGCAAAATATGCCTGACCGCCAATGCAAATCTACTTTCCCAATTCGATTCATCAGGATGTGTTCTAGCGCCGTTTATGTGAATGTGTAGGGCAGGGCAGGGCAGGGAGAAGGGGTATACACACACACACACTAGAGCTTACAATATTGAGAATTTGCTCGATGTCATAACTGTAGATAAGAGCCAGACTAGCCCAAGTGTTGATCCGGTTAGGAGAAACGCGAAGATCGTTCTTATAGATTTCTTTGGCAATTCTGAAAAAAAAACGAGAAATACGTTGAATAGCACTGGTAGTCATGTCAATAGAGAGAGAGAGAGAGAGAAATAGCTAATATTGAGATAACTTACTGGAAATTTTCGTAATTTGTGTTCTTGAACGTTTTCATGTGGTAGTCAGCAATAAGGTAGTACATCAGGTTAATCATATCACTGAAACGCAAAAGGAAAAAATGTAAAGCATCGCTTGATGGAACCAAAACTGAACAAAGCAACTTGAGGAATTGCAGAATTGGGATGCAATTCATAATTGAAGCCAGTACGTGAATAGTAAAGGAGAGAGATTTCTACGACGCATTACAGAAGTGGAACATACACCAGAACATTCTGCTAACCGCATATTGAGCGAAGTTGACAACATACAGAGTTCCAAAAGTTCAACCACCATAAATGACTGCATATCGATTGAGTAAGACAACCCAGAGATATTGCGCGCCAAACAAGTTTATCAAAGTTATGCTATTTTTATCTCGAAATATTTTAATCGAATAGCAGGCATTACTATAGATATAATTAGCCCATTAGTCGACTTCGGGGTTCACAGAGAGGAGGAGGAGGAGGAACATCATAGTGACAAAAAGTCGAGAGGGGGAGGGGGAAGAAGAGAGATTCACGTAAGTAAAAGAGACAGACGCAAAAGGTAAAGAAAAAGGTGAGGTGAATACTGTAGAAGTGGTCGTATATGACATACAGTGGAGTAATGGCAGTTTGAAGTCGGAGGTCAACTACCGGTTCGTTGTCGTATGAGTAAACGTATCCCAAGGTACTGTAAACGGCTATTCTTAGATTTGAACGCATGCTTAAACTGGGCAAAATTAATGTGTTTCAATCCTGTGCATTTGAAGCTAAACGGTAGATAGGGAATTGCTCATCTCCTCCTCGCTATGGTTCAGTCATTGTGCCTGTGCTATACCTCAGAATACGAAATTGGAATGATGAACACAAACCAAACTCCTATTCCTTTCACTACCAAGCAACATACCACAAGTGAAAATTGAGCTTAAAATAAAAATTAAACTTATAACTTCGTTGCCCCATCGACAGTTAACAGTAGTTCATTAATTGTCTTCTGGCTTCCCAGTATCTATGGACAACGTATACTCATACGGCTTAGAATAAAGATTAAACTCATTGCTTCATTGCTCCATCGACCTTTTGAAGGTAAAATAAGGAGGAATTACCCCCAAATCCACCACGACCAACCGTTAAACTGCTTTTCCGGCAGATAATACGAAAAAAAACAAGCTGAGAACGATGACTGTGAAATCATGTCAACCGAATCTCCTAAACTAAGACGGTGGCACTAAATCTGATGGAATGCTAAATTGAGAAGGGAGCGTGAATGAAGTAGGGTACTTCCTCCCCCCCCCCAGACTCACGCCACTGCTATTCCATCTCCCTGCCAAGGTGTTTGAAGGCTCCACAATGATTAAAAGCAATGGCATGTGTAACGTAAATCGTGAAATAAATAAGATTGGCAATTACTACCACTACTACCACTAACCTAAGGTAGTACTTTTGAATGGGTAGGGGCCTATCACGCGACAAGCAGTCTTCAATTTCCTCCTCTGGGATGAAGAATTCCTTGTAAGCCGGAGGCAACAGCTTAACCGCTTCCATCAGCCAGATGGCCATCTAGGACAATAAAAGCGTATTTCAATTAGATTGTGTGTGTGTACAAACTTCCAAACTAAGAAATTCCAAGCTGTAGACAGAGAAGATCAATTAAAGCATTCAAAGTAATAATAATAATACATCGTGTTGACAAAATCAAGGCAAATAAGAATGAAAACATACCTTTTCAGAAACAGACCATGACTTGTTATCGTTGACCTCTGGTATTCTCGACGGACAGTAAAAGATGAAGGCGACTTCAATAAGTTGCCAGTCCTCAAAAGGGGAGAAAAAAGGTTTGATAGACTGCGATGAGAATCTGTTCACGATGTTTTTAATACTTACTTCAAAGAAAAGTAAAAATCAACCACTATAGAGTGGAAGAAAATCGAGTGTAAATGAAGGATTGGGATGAGGTACTTTAATCAATTAAAAAGTCCCTCTGTCCCCCTCCCACCACCCCTCCACCCTCCCCACCTCTCTTTTGGGCTTGAGCGCCACCTATTTCCAATCCTTATGTGAAACAAAGGAGAGAGAGAGAGAAATCTCTTATCAACTAGTTAGGAGGGACGCACTTTCTACAACTATGCGTCAATCGCAGTTCAATCGATATCGTGCCCGTTGGCAAGCTTAGGGTGAAGCACAACAATGAGGTACTAGAGTTCACATATTAGTTTTCATGATAAATATCTCCCCTGAAATTATGAATAATACTCACCTTATCAGAAGGCTTGGCACCAAGCCACCAGCATCCAACTTTAGCGTTAGCTGGAGGATTTGTGAGGTCGAAACCAACTGGACGATGTGATTCAACAACCTCGTAAAATAGTGCGGCATCTTTCGTCCAAAGCGGGGGTCTTGGGGCAAGACATGACGGCGGTCGCTCTGGTAGTTCAGGCTCATACGGTTTGAATGTTAAATCCTCCTCTTCTCCTCCGCTCTCCGCCTCAATTTCATATTCTGGTGGTTTGGCACTCGGCTAAAGGTACAAAAAATGGCCTTAGTAACAGGGAGGGAGGGAGGGGGGTAGTGCACACTAGGGTAGTAATAAATGCTAGCACTTACTTTAAACCGTGTGCCGTCGTAGAGAATAGAAGTATCGTAGGAGCCACAGGAAATCGATAAGGAATCCGTAGTATCCGAAGAAATCAGCCCGATTTGCTGTTTATTTTTCGTGGAAATTCCACATAGACAATGGATAATCTGAGCTAGAATATCACCGAGACGTTTCGCCCCCTGTGGCCAAGCAACCTCCGAATTAGAAATGTTGTCGGGGAAGGAGGCAGTGGGAAGTCTTGTGGATAAGGAGTTGAGGACGTCAGGAGCAGCTTTACAGAAGTGGTAAAAGCCCTCGGAGAGCTTCTTGAGAGTCTCCGCAACCGTGACTCCGATGCATCGAAGGTAGGTCAAGCCAAGGGGATTGCTGCCAGGGGAGATACAACGCGCATTTGTATTGATGAGAGGAATAAGGTCATGGAAGAGATGTAAACAATAGCGACTTGGAGGAGCTGCGGCTCGACCTCTTACGATCCCGATGATGTGGGGGAGATGTTGAGTTTTGAGGAAGGTCACAAGAGGCTTTAGAGAACTATTAACAGAAAATGATGAAGTAGCGATTTGGAAGGCTATTATTATTATCATCACTTCAAATGGTAGGCTTTATGATATTTATCATTAGCTCCTTAGTTGATTTCGGCTTTCACAAGGGGGAGGGGGGAGGAACATGTATTTGAGAGTAGTGCACTAGTTGTCTTCAGGCTTCCTAGTAGCTTTGGACAACGTATACTCATCATACGGCAAAAAAGTCTATAACTCGGTAATTGACTTCAAAGTATTATGATCAGCCTAAAACGAAACCATAAGCCATTTGGAAGATAGATTATGTAAAATAAGCACTATTAATTAGCAATCTTGTGTTGTGCAAACCAAAATAAACATTTAAGATTTCTACTAATAGAATGCGATTTATTAGCAATATTACCTATCGTTGAGCAAAATTTGAAAAATGGCTCGAACTTGTGGAACATGAAGTTCTCGAGATGTTCAATATTATTAGATGAATCCATGGTGATTTCCGCAGTTTCATAGTACTCACCTTACCTTTGTCTGTCTCTTGGATCTGTGAGTCATTTTTCTGTTCACCCCCTCCTCTCAACTTTCTGTGACTTTGTCTGTTCCTCCCCTCCGCGAAGCCCGAAGTCAACTAGAGAGCTAGTGATAACTATCATGAAGCCTACTATTTGATATAAATCAATATTGCCCATAAAGACAAGGGATCATCATTTGAGAAGGTCTTCAGCCATCCTACTTCTGGATTTGCAATGCCTTTGCAGTGGTATATCTCTTTGAGCATCTAAGTGACCTCAAACCAACATGCTAGTGATAGCTTGGTTTAACATCCCAATCGTCACATATTTCTATTCTATTTTTGATAAAATCTAAGATATACTACTCACCTTTTCTCAGTAGCCTCGTCGCCCAATAGATAGAGTGAACGGTAGATGGCCAAATCCGAGTGAAGTAGGTGCAGAGGAAAGCCCAGCTCTAGCCTATGGCGAAAATAAATAAAATAAGCGGGAAGTAGACAGCCAATAAGGAGGAGGAGAACGATAATGTCTAAGGCATCACTCACGCATCAAGCAGTTCGGAGGGAAAGAAAGTGAAATCCAGATAAATGTTGGGTGGTGGAAGACCCAGAGCACCGGTTGCGTACAGACGCCAGGCGTAGATATTCACAGTGAGGCAAAGACCTTGACAAATTTCCCCAAAGCTCATGTTGTGTAGTGCTGTGGGTTTGGACTCTTCACCCTCCTTGAGAGGGGGTTTGAAGGTGAAGAGGACTCTCGTGCAGAGGGACTCCAGAGTGAGCTTCTTATTGAAGACCTTCGTCGTTGCTCCATAGTCCATTTCATTGATTATAACTTCCCAGGAACTGAAAGAGAAGAAAAAGAATGAATTGGAGACTCGTGATGAACGAGTCGAAGGGAAACCCCTCCAACATGCATCTTGAGCAGAAGGATAGCAACTTTGAGCCTATCTCATGAATACCCACGTTCTGACTCGATCTCTATTGACAACATAACCAACAACATATATGCTTGACAACACAATTTGGAGATGCACTGTAACTGATACTTTCGGGTTTGTTTAAGGAACCATTGGTCCCACAGTCGTGCCGAGCTGAATTATAGCAACATGGAGTATCGCTGACGATAAACTCAAATTAACACAACATTCCGAGAGCTAGGATTTTATTTAACTAAACCAAATTTACCATGAAAGGCAAATTTCATGATCGTTGAACAAAAGTGCTTTCTGGAACTTATCTTAATTTTATTCATTCTCCATTGACCGGCACATTGATGAGTACCAAATCCACGCAGATAGTAACTTTTCCAAACTAATTAAAAACCATTGGGTGAAAATACTATTGCAATTGATCAGTTTCTGTGTTCTTTTTTTGGGGGGGAGGGGGGGAGGGGGGGGGGAAAGAATCAACACCATGACGGTTAAATTGACCAGCTTCAAGTGGGAACTTACATTCGGAGTAGGTCAAGCGCAACTGTAACACTTTTCCAAGCTTCCAAAACATCAGCGACCTCTTCTTTGGAGAGCAAGTTCGAAAAGTCACCGCCCACCTCATCCCACCCACCAATGATCGTCGACACGAGATCAAGAAAACGGGTTCCAATGCGCCAACTTCGAATAGCGAGAACAATGACCCCATCTAGAGCCGACTTTGTGACTACTTCATCTTCTTCATCACTTGAGTAGTCATTGTAGGCGTCTGTGAGACGTCTGCTGAGAGTTCGAAGGGGTTGGAAAAACATATGGCAGATACGAGGGAGGCTTTCCAATCGCTAAAAAAAGAGAGAGATGGGAAAATTTGCGTTGCTGGGAGCTAGTAGTCACCTCCTCTTCTAACAAAAATACTTCTATTTTAACGAACTCTGTGCAGTTGGTAATTCAACTTCCCACCAAATTGCTTCATTAGCGATTGATTCATCCAAAACTCTCCTCGCAACTACCACATATGAACTCGGGTTCGACTTATTTCTCCATATCTACTCCATGGCTTCCTGGTTCAATCACAATCTGGTAATGAGTTGCTCTAAATGAAATGTTCAATCATTTCTTACCGCATTTCCCATTGGTTTTGCCTCTATAAGAGTAGGCACATATCAACAACAATAACATCACATCTTCCTAATCTGTTCAAATGGTGGGAGAATAGAGAATCATCCATCCATGGGGGGGGGGGGAGGCAATATTGTGTCCCCACTAAGTTCAGCGATAAAAGCTGGAAAAACAATATGGGGAAAAAGGGCATTCAAGCTCCTATAAGAAGCATGAAATGAGGAGACGAGAAGTGTGTTAGGAGCACACACAAACACAGTATCCACTCCGTGGGATAGAAAGTCGCGCGGAAAGAAACTCTATATATATATATATGGAAGTTAAGAAATTTTTGGATAAATTGAGAAGAGCCAACGTGGGAGGAGACAAGTAACCCTATTCTCCACCTATTTCAACCCTTTTTTTGTTCTAATTTCTTTAAGGCGTTTATCCATCCAAATAAATTGGCTACCAATTTCCACTTTCGTCTAACCAAAAAAAGGACGACTCATCTTCGAACTTCGAATAAACTTGGGTCTGGTGACGTTGCGGCAAGCAAGGGAGTAAGCTTTAGCTAACACCGAATTCCAAGCTAGAAATCCAGTAATGCGGCTATTTCCAGTTCGCAAGTAAACTATGACCCCGCTTACTCTACCAACAGGCCTCCTGTGTTGTGAAGGCGTAGTTCCAAAAGCTGACAAAGACGCTAAGTCAGCAATTATGCCCCGTAACTCCCTCTCTCTCTCTCTCTTGCCGTTTTTCTGTATTTATTCAGTTGAGCAGAATATTTGCCATCTATCGTTAATGGTAGAAGCACTTACAGCAGAGGGGGACATTGAAGAAATAACTTTGGATTTATTTTGAAGGAAGTTGGAATGCGACTGAATGCAATCCTTAAGAGCCTTTATCAATTTTGTGGTATCCTGCTGCGACTTGCACAAATGTTCCAGCCGAGCTCCGATTGAAACATCCTCCACTTCGGCCAAGAGTTCGTCAATTCGTTCTATGAGAGGGAAAGAGATAAACTCAATAATAGCTGAGAATCCCACGACTTCAAAATACGAATATATACGCAAGTACCGAGAGTTATGTAACTATTTCTGAAGGAGCATACACGCCGAAGTGGACCATTCTTAGTTATGAATTCCTTGGCTTGAAGCAGGTAATCCTTCATCGCATCATAGTTGTGCACAACCGAACTCCATTCATACTTTATCCACAACACTAAAACAAAAATTCAGAAGCATTAAGTCACAACTTACATCTTCCTTCAAAGACGGTAGTTTCAGGCGAATCTTCAGGAAGACTTCGAAGTGCTCGAAGCATTTTGCACTCATCATGATAATGAATTGTCTCATCAGGCTCCCAATACCTAGAATGGTAGTAAATTATAATTGCGAGGCAAATAAGCGACTTACGGTTTCGAGTCGGCTTGTAGGGCTTCTGAGAGAGCTTTCAGGTCGGTGTCCTCAACACCAGAACCATTCAACGAGGCCAGGTGACGCTTAGCTGAATCTTCAGCTTTCCGACAGAGGACTAGAGCATCTAGACGCGATTCAATGTAGGAGAAGTGAAGATTGGCTATCTGCCATATCGTTGGTCGACGGCGTAGACGAATTAAACCGGTGGGGATAAGTAGTTCTTCGGTGGGGGGATAGGGGTGTTCAACTGGGAAAATAAAGGAAGATTTGGGGGAAAAATAAGAGTAAATTTTGAAAACGACCCAAAATATAAGACAAACCTTCGGGCACATCCCTACATTCCCAAACTGGAAGTGTAGAACGAATCCGGGCACTCAGGGCAAGATATGCCGTTGAATAAGACTGAGTCCTAAAGCGAGAAGTAAACTTATTAACCTATTTGAATACCTTATCATCTCTGAACATTCTTAAATAAATGAAAGCCGAAGACACAACAATTGCAGTCGAAATTCAAACTCACCAGACTTTAACCCTTTCTGTCATCTGAAGGAGCAAAGGAATTCCCATAAAAATCGCGTTCGTTGCCTCAACACTAAGAATGCGCAGAAATTCAGTGACCAAATCCGCTTCGGTAGGTCCGGCTTCGATTGCTGCAGTTGTAGCCTCCTCGTCCTCGTCAATTTGGGGTTCTCTTGTGGCCAGTGATTTCTCTTCACCACCACCACCACCGTTAGGAGTCTTTGTACTCGATATTGCAGCAAGGTCCCTACATGGAGGAATAAACAGAGGGTAAATAATCTTACTCCCCCCCCCCCCCCGAAAAAAACCATGCGAGTACGCGCATTCGTCTTCAAATTATACTAACTCGAAACAAACGGGTAGAAGGTTATGAAAGCGTTTTGCAATCCTCATCCAAAGATTTCTAATTCGTTGAGCCTCTGCAGCGGCGGCGTTTGCACCGGTTGGGGACTTTAAGGCCGGGACAGCAGTGGCGGGACCGGTGAGGTTTACAGGGGTGGCCGTCTGAGAATGGGATCCGCTAGGACCTGCGTGTGCAGATGATTCGTCGAAAGGCACGGCTGGTCGACGGAGACGTCTGGAAATACGGCGAACTTCCTCCTCTTCGGTCTTAAGAAAATAAAATAAAAATTATTATTATTATTTATACCTTCCTCTTTTAATAGAGCAACTACAATATAAACCAGGGGTTATTGGGGTAAAAAAGATGGTGAAAAAAAGCAGTTTTAGCCGGAAAAGCAGGACTCGATGCAAAGACCTAAAGAAATCATTTAGCGTATAAAATTGGCCCCAAAATACTACTAAACGAATTTTCCGTAACAATACGCGCAGGAACAATACAGGGGAGTATTTAGTAACATGATTTTCCTAATCTTCCTCCTCTTTCCCCCCCCCCCCCACCATCCTGAACTTTGCTGTCATCTGAGTTCAATTTGCAAAATAAAGATTGATAGGTGAAAAACTATTCAAAGCCAGAAACTTACACATGAGATGGGAGATTAGAAAGGAATAAGGTGAGTGGGTGGGGCGGGGCGGGGGGAGTGGGCGGCAGACTTCGCCAATTGACACACGAATTTGAAATGTCTTTTAAGCCAACATAACAGGTGAATCAATTTCGCTGGAAACCAAGAATCTAATCAAGCAAATATTTTCCCGATGCAAATTTGAGAAGGTAATGCCTCCTTCAGGTCTTACACCTTCTCGCTTTCCAGTTCCAATAACTTCAAACAATCGAATCTTTGAAATTGGACGCATGGTGCCTACTTAACCACTGCGTGGATATGGTAGGCAACACAAGCTCCCATGAGAAACACACCAGCTAGAGAATTGACTCTGCATGTTTACCATTCGATTGCTTTTAATAATAACGACGCTTCATTTGAGCGGGAAATGGTATCATAACTGGAAGCCAAAAGTGAGAAATTCGAATCCAGTTGACACATTTAATTAGCCAGATCTAAGCGGACCAGTCGATCATTCCGCTTAGTAGGTGTCAATGAAACCTAATAACTCTACTCAATCGAACTCACCCTGAGATTAACCGGTGTGTCAGATGGAGTCTGGCTATCAGCATTCTCAGCTGACTGTGAATTTGGCTGAGAATTCGTGTTTGTGGGCGAGGGGCCATATTCAGTAGCATTCGCATCAGGTGATTGAGCATCCATCTCAAGATCAACGATCGATGCAGATGCAGGGAACTCTTCTTGAGACAACTGAGCTGGCGAAAGGGCTGTTTCCATGGGCTCCACAACTTGTGGTTCTTTTGGAGGGATTTCACCATCCTCGAAAAGAGAACCCAAATCTAAACCGGCTTCGACCAACTACAATTAAATAAACCTGAAATAAACAAATGGCAATATAGTTACGATGGTTTTATTACCCCATGGTACTTACGTCTTCCTTCATAAGTTTGTCGAACATGCTGACTACAGCATTAGCCAAGTGTTCCCACCTAAAATGGACAAACGTAATACCGGTGGGTAATAATTAGTGTCTGGAAAAGTAGAAATATGGAAAGTATTTAACGTTTATGTTCCATTCCGTACGACATTGTTTACTTAAGCTAAAGAACAATCAAGTACGTTGTACAATGGAACATCGATCAGCTGGATCTATCTTCTTTGTGCTTTTCGAAGACATTTTGGCATTGTCAGCCTGAGTTGGCAGTAGAAAAAATTATTAAGAAAAAATGACCCCATAAAGTGAACAAAACACTTGCAGCAAAAGCAGAAAGGAAAAACTGTATGAAATAAATGAGATGAAGACACACACTACGCTTCAACAATAATCTGGAAAGTGTAATAAAGTTAATGGAATAGTTTGCAAAGCACCTGAACAAAAAAACATGGAAAATCATAAAATTGAGTAGAGTAAGTACTCATTTCATGTAGGTATTCAATAAATTTGCACAAAAAGACCATCGTAAATTGAACTCACGTTAGTTTGTACAAAGGACCGGGAAACTTGAAGGTTTTCAATATATACTGCTTATTCTGCTCATCAATCATCGCCCTATGCGCAGCGCGAATCTTTTTCCAGCGTTCATCAACCTGAAAGGGAAAATCAGGGGGAAAATTTTACAAATTACGTGTTCTTTGACGGCATCCGGAACTTCAACATCCTCTAAGACGGTGGGTAGCTCTTTGTAAAGATCTTGCATGAGATGATCACAGCAGGATTCGATTGATAGAACTTGTTTAATCAGATAAACGGCCATTTGGTCTCGAGGATTAATGAGGAGACTACGTATGGAATACTTTAGACATACTATTGAACAAAAGTTACAGTAAAAAGTTACAGCTCGCCGTTTAAACGTTTTAAGAGTAGACTTTTAGTGAAACATTTACCAAGCAGCTCGCAGACACCGAAATAGAAGATTTGTGCCCAGTAAAGTGCAACCGGATGAGAGGGCTGCTCTTGAAGAATGTGGAAGAGAGCTTTGTCAGCATCTTCGAACTTGTTCAGGGTGATAGAAGTGGTGGCCAACTTTATCCAGACACCAAGATCTGTCGGATCCAGCTCAACGGCCTAGTTGGATGGTAAAAGTTAAGTAGGTTATTATTTAATTATTCCCAGTCCCCCCCCCCCCCCCCCCTCCAAGTTGATAAGAGATCTAAAGGGAGAATTCTCTTAAAAAAGCATGTAATAGTATTGTCCAATGTTCTTCACAAAATTAGCCAAGTTTCCAACTTCCTTCACCTGATTAGCATTACTCACTGAACCGACAAACTTGGCTTTTGTCGAATCACTAAGTGCTCAAGTTACACGAATAAAGGGAAGGGGCATTAGGCATTTTCAAGTAAAAACAAACTTATCTAATAATCGCATAAGGTCCTGAGCATGTTAGCATTACAAATTTCGAAACCGCAAAATAGGAAGTGATGTGATGGTGGCAGAATTTGATCCACAGGCACGATTCAAAAAGAGATTTTAAATATTTTAATAGAAAATTGTCCCATGAATGTCAAAAAAATAGTGTAAATAAAAACCCAAAACGTAGAAGACACATAAACACTCACAGTTTTAAGCAATTTGAAAGCGGTTTCAGGTTTGTTGGATTTTAAATAAAGCGTAGCGAGAAGCCTGCAGCTGGCAAAGTTTATTGTTTTCAGATGTGGTGGAGCACCCTAGACCGAAAATTACAAAAGCATGCTTAAAAATAAATAACAGGAGTAGCACTATAAGATAGATTCAACATACCGAAGACGCTCTGAAAAGGAAACTGTGAACAATGCTCTCAAGCAGTGGAATAGCATCAAGCGAACTTTCAGATTCTGATGACATTTGCAGAGCATGCTTGTATAACTGAGTAATGCGAATCTCTTCAGCTTCTTTCGATGAATGCTTCTCTTTGACAGGTCGTAGAAGTCGGCGAATTATTTCCGCATTTGACGTAGATTCCCTTTCATTTTCCTGATTACCAATATGGCAATTTTCGAGAGATGTGATTTCAGAATCCAAATCAGCAGTATGACCGGTATCAGAATAACTGGCATCGTTAACATTGTCACTAACACTGACATCATCTTCGCGTGTTAATGGTCGAAAACGAAGCTATATATTTAATTATTAGAAGGAGAACACCAAAAATCAATAATAATTACAAGGGTAATGAGAAATATCAACATAATGAGCGTCAGTAAATGTTAAACGATATAAAAAATAAGACGAAAAAATTACATTGGACAATTGATCCATTCTTTATAGAAAAGTTACGGACTGAAGCCAAGCTCGCATTCACGGTCAAAAACAAGTTTGTTCTATTTTGAATTAGGCGCGCAAAATTCCACTTATAAAAAGACGTTCTCGTTGACCAAAAACGAAGATGTGATTTCATGTAATAGCATGTTATTTGGATTAATAAAAACTTCTTTCTAGTAAAAGTAATTATTTCCTGAAAGATGAAAATTAAGACTTTATTTGGTTGACTACATTAGTTGTGAGAGGCCTTATTTTAAAAATTCTATGTAATCGTTATATTAGCAATTGTAGCTTAAAGTATTTCCTATTGAACTTAAAACAATCATTAAATTTAAATGAATACATATTGAATTGTGCAGACGGTAAACTGACTTGTTTAGTTGAGTACTTATGCAAACACAATAATCATTCATCTATTGTTGTAGCTAAATAAATTTATTGTGTCGTACCGTAAAAGAATTATTGATATTATGTCATTTACAATGAATAGGTCCTTCAACTCTTTGATTTATACAGTACTTAAATTCTATTGATTGACCCAGCGTTTGAAACTGTCGTATTAACGGAACTATGATATTTGCATTACATTATTGGATCCTTAAATTAAGAGGCAAGTAATTTTTCTCGAAAATTGCATTGAATGGATTTATTCCGTTTTTTTCATTTTCGTTAGAGGGTTAATGATAGATTTCATAAAGCCTGCCATTTGATATAAATAAATATAATTATCAAATGGCAGGCGTTTTGATGGTTATCATTAGCCCTTTAGTTGACTTCAGGCTTCGCAGAGGGGAAGGAACATCAAAGTGAATAAAAAGTCGAGATGAAGGGGGGGCGAGGGAACAGAAGAGTGTTTCAAAGACCAAGGTAGAAAAGGTAGAATAAAGGTGGGGTGAGTACTATGGAAGTAGTCGACTATGACCAACAGTGGGGTGATGGTAGTTTGAAGTCAGAAGTCAACTGCGTCAATGGGGTGATGGTAGTTTGAAGTGAGAAGTCAACTGCCACAGTGGGGTGATGGTAGTTTGAAGTCAGAAGTCAACTGCCTGCCATTTGATATAGATTTTCTGAAAACTGCAGGCATGCTATAATTCAAACGATAGGAGTCTCATCTATTGACTTTTCTGAGATCATGATTTAAGCATCTTTTTGAGGAGACGGATATGTTTTCAATAAAACTTTAATGAATAATCATATGTGCAAAAAAGGTTGTAAAATTGATGTGAAGGCGTCGACAGGTTGGTCCCCTATCCCACCATTGAAGCCATTCTGATGAGTAATGTTGACCTCAATGGGTCCGTGGCATGACTTTAATCACAAGCGCCTTGGCTCATAAAACCACGGTCGACTTCGCACGTATAAATTGGACCTAGAGAAGTGGAGTGGTAAATAAGATTTACGGGGTATGCGATGGACTTACCTCCGCGTGGTGCACCCTGGGCAACGTATACTCATACGGCAAAAAGTCTATTAATCGGCAGTTAACTTCTCACTTCAAACTACCATCACCCCATTGTATGTCATTTTCGACCACTTCCACAGTGGTATACCTTTGTGTCTGTCTCTTTTACATCTTTAAACCACTCTTCCGTTCCTCCCTCTCGACTTTTTCTCACTTTGATGCTCCTCCTCCCCTCTATGAAGCCCGTAGTCAACTAAAGGGCTAATGACATCTATCAAAACGCCTGCCATTTGATATAAACAAATAAATACGATTAACAGGGTACTCAATTGTTTCTTGATTGACCTTTCGTGTTCTTACATGCCTTGATGACCTCTCGCTCCATTGTGCTTTGCCGATGCGAAATTGAATGCTAACCCCCCCCCCCCCNCCCCCCCCCAATTGCCACCAGTGAAGGGAAGACTCGATTAAAAAGGATCAAAGACAATGTATCTGATTCATGTTATCAATATTTTACCAATATATTTTTATATATATCAGATACCAAAATGTTAATTACAGGATAAGCTGAATTCCTGTCAGGAGAAATGACCATTATACTTACAGATGAATATACAGGGACGCTTAAATAGACCATAGAATACATAAAAGATGAGAGTGAGAGTAGAGGGGTGTGCTTGTGTGTGTGTAAAGTCAGAGGGGAAGAAGAGGAATGCTAATTCCAATGATTGAGGGTAATAGAGAGAGAGGATAATTTCAAGGAGTACACACAGAAGCTACTTATTTCTACGAGCAGATCTGCGCACGTTTGCCCTACTACCACGGACATTTGGTCGCGAGGTGTTGCTCTTGGCCAGTTTCGGAGATGTGACGTCCGTCTTCGAAGGCCTTACTTTCTCAGACTTTTCTTCATCATCGGGCTTCGCTCGTTTGGAACTGGGTTTAGATTTGGAGCTCTCGTCTTCATTTTTTCGCTTCTTACTCGACTTATCCCCTTTAGCAGGAGCTGGAAAGCAGGGTTATTATAATATAAAGCATTGATATCAACGGTATTCATGGAAATACGCGGAACAACAAAAAATAAAATTTTGTGAAAACTATCCCAAACTCAATCAGTGCAGCTGGAAATTCTATTTACCGAGGCATATTGAACCCATGGCTCCTAAATTTGTAGATAACAATGCCAAAAAGAAACCATTTTACTACAATTTACGCATACTTCGAAATCTTTTTTTAACTAAAAACACGGATGCTCTTACTAAACAGAGAAATAATAAGACAAGTGAATCTCATGCGACGATTATGATTAAGGTAGCTATCGTTGCCAATAGGATTAACCCTTTAATGCCCTAGGAGGCGCGCACGATCCTCTTTCAAAATAAGCTCAATTTTCGTACAACAGACTCATAACAGAAGTGGCGCTAGAGCCGTTGGAAGTATGTCCAATACGTGCCTGTAGCCTTCGTCTGATGCCACCACCAAAACTCATCACGTCGGCGGCAACAGTCTGCTGCTGTGAGACCTGTGTTTGAATGAGGTTGAGGGGTGCATTTTCCATAAAGACACCTGCATACTAATCTGTGCACCCACAACCATTAATTCCCCTTTGCAGATAATACACGTTTTTATTAGAAAGGAGGGAATCCAAAGTTATCTTTTACGTCCTAGCGCAACTGGACATTTTGGGTAGTAAATTCTCAACCTCATCCAGATCTCTGCTGACTGCAACTAATAATCCACAGTCGCAACTTGCAAAACACAATTCAACGTGGTCGAGCAAAAAACACGCCTCCCCCCCCCCTCTCTGAGGTCATTAAAGACTTCATCAGCTGTCAGTAGTCAGAACTTGACAATTAGCTGAAACCATCATGGACATTGGGGCCGGTGGAGGCAGCCAAAAAAAGCTCCTGGTAATGAAAGAATCAAACTATACCACATTTGCCAGTGTCCTTAATTCTAAGAAGAAACTTGAGCGCACACGTTTTCCTAATATGTGATTCCAATACGCCATTCCAACTCCTGATGAACACCCTCTGATTAAAGCGAAATTAGAAGTGGAGTGTATGACATCAATGAAATGTGACAATTTGAGTAAACAAATGAGCTGGCAATGCACCAAAACCCAAACCCACTACTGCTCTGCATAATTAACCGAAAGAAGCTCACCCTTTGCATCAGTATCACTTTTATCCAGGTCAACATCATAAGAATTATTGGTACCATTAGCCACTTTGTCACTTTCCTCCCGTGCCTCTTCAACCGTCTCCACATTCTCTTCCACCTTCTCTTCATCCTCAGTGACAACCACTTCCGAGGACTCCTCCACAGATTCCTCCATCTGTTGTTGACGTCGCTTTTGCCGCGACTTCGCGGTTGAAGAAGCAGGATTTTTTACTTTCAACAGTTGAGGTGGAATCAGACCGTCCTTGACAGCCTTGGAGTTCTTGGTTGGGGTGAAGGTGATGAGAGGAGGGGGAGTTTTGCCGGAGCCGTCACCTCCTCCTCCTCTGGCTGCAGAGGGACAGATTTGGGCGAAATCCGGGTTAGAGAAAGAGGAGGGCGCACGATGGAAGAGACTACGAGGGAGCTTGATTTCGAACTCGCAAACTCGCCAGACTATGTTACTGCTGCGAGTTAGGAGAAGACCGAGGGCGATGTCACAGGCCATATAGATTTTCTATAATTGAAAAAGAAGTATAGGCGAATAAGACAAGAGCTCAGAAGCAATGAGAATAGTACTACTTCCCCGCTTGTAGAAAAAGCTGTCACTTCCTGCTATAATGATGGGGGAATAACTCCCATCTAATAAAGAGCAGCTTCTACAGTCGAAGTTAGCACTACTTTCTCATTATTCGAGTGCAAGAAACACACACACACACACATCCAGTCATTAATTATTAGCACATACCGTGTTAATTGACTCATCGCCGGGTCTGAGGGCGTCCTGAGAGTGTTTGATTTGTTCCAAGAGCTGCCTCAAGAGCGTGTAGTTATTTCCACCAGCCATGATCGGTTCCATGATGAACCAGAGAGCGCTAAATATGGGGAAAGCCAAAATCCGATGAGATAGTAAACTTAAAGGAGAGTAGACGGGTCAACATATTGAACACTCACGACTTGACAACATTGAGTCGAGCCACATCGTCCGGATCCTCCCAGTCTGGATCATGAGCGAGTAAGTGGATCGCATAGGCCAACACGAAATCAGGCAACAGAGCGAAGAGGATTTCTAAAATAGCACAAAACAACAGCGTAAAAAAGAGAAATATTAAAATGACAATGAGAAAGATCCATACAATTTGACCTTAAAATCATAACTAAGAGGAGGAGCTAAGCAAGTGAAATACGCAATCAACCAGGGCATTTGACAGCCGAAGGCATAGAACCTGCGTGGACACGAATAGTAAACACATGAAGACTTTTAAGAGAAACAGCACACAACCCAAACGATCTCTCCCATATATCGACAGAGCCTCAGTGAAAATACACTAAAATCGCCATAGTTATTGTTCAATCCAACACATATTTCCAATTTCCCATAGACAATCCATCTCAGAAAGTAGGAAAAAAAGTGTTGACCGTTGTGGCATAATTTCATTAACGTCAGAAGAAAAGGGAGACATAGAGGCGACCTCAGACACATCACAAAACAAAAATGGAGAATAAGAAAGGAAAATTGGAGTGTGGGGGAGGGGGGGAAGGTGTCAGAGCTGAATTAAGTCAA